CTGTGGTCAGATGGAAAAGGTGCAACAGATTCCTCCATCTACACCTAACTGTGTGGATGGAGTAATCTCCAACTGGGCCAATCTGTTGCACTTTTTTCCATCTGACCACAGAAAATCTGCAGATAATTGTAAGGTGTATGGGCACCTTTAGGGAGAAAAACTCTCTAATTGTACTGATCACCTGTGTCATCATGAATAAAAATGAGGGTGAACCCAAAATTTTCAGTTGCCACCAGTACAGGAATAGAGGGGAAATCTTCCAGATGGCACACTTTTTTCCATGTCATCTGTCTACAGCAGATATCCCCCAAGTTGGAAAACGATTCTTTCACTTTCTGTTGAATCTACATGATAAGAAGTGAAGGGAACGCTCTCTAATGAGACAAACACGGCATTGAAAAAACACAAAACAAAACAGAAAAACTGACAGCGGTTTTACCTCTCCACTACTTTATCCTAAGTGAAAAAAAAGTTTGCCTTTAGATATGCTTTCATTTTCCAACTGAAACAATATATTTGTTTGTAGTAGGGCCCACAGCTGCCAATGCATTGCATTACTCATTGGAAGAAAGCTGCATTTTGTATGTTTTGTCTTGCATGTCAACTGATTTCAAATGAGTCTCTGAGGGCCCATTCACACCACATCCAGATTATCGCCAGACCAGACCAGATTGTTTCCGAACCCAAAATGCATCCTAATGCTATTTCTGGCCTCTGTTCACAGCAGTGCAGTGAAATGCACGTCATTACATCTTTCATTACCACATTGCACTGTAGTGTAAACAAACCCTGAATGTTGGCAGCAAGTGAGCAGAGATATCTAATAATGTAATTGCCATACTTCACTGGTAAGGACTTGTTTTATATTTCTACAGCTTCAGAAAAGACAGTTCAGCCCAGTCTTCTGTTGTCTATGATACTGAAAATGATATCCCTGCCAGCACAGCAGTGTGCACAAATTACCTCTACCCATGCATAGAAAAATCCAGCTTGTACTCGTTTTGCTTTATTATTTCTGTGACTGGTCACTAAGTTGAAGTAAATTTTCGATAGCTGTGTAATTATAAAGCTGTTGTGATTTTTGCCATGGTACAAATGTTGCTGACATGTGCAGAACAAAAGCAATGGGTCCGCTTATCATTTTTGCCATGAATTAGCAAGCCAACCAGATAAGTTAATTGGCCAGGACAGCTAATGTCAGGTGTGTGACAGTAAATTACCATAATTGTTTTGGACAAGGAGTATGAAGAATGTAATTATCTTAGACATGAAGCCATATTTTGTATATCTCACAAACATAATTTCAGATAGAAACCCGCTGACTCACTAATATATGTTTTGCCTGGTAAAATGTATATTGATTTTTTTCTGATGTTTCTGAACAACATGCACTATTGAAGTGTATGCATGATAAAGTAGTAAATTACTGTAGTGTCTTTAATTGTCAGCTTGTATTATATGTATGGTTTCTTATTCTTAATAAACTTTAGCATTATGTTGAGAGGTCAAACTGCGATTTCCTGACCACTCCATGGCTGCATGTGAATGGGCAGTCTCTGACCCCAAAATACCCAAGTACCCCATAAGTCTGCTCTTTCATTAAATCCTACATTTTCTGTCCTTTTGTCCATAAGATGGTTCTTTGCTGATGCCCTGTTACAGCAAACTGCGCAGACACAGGGTGTGTTCCACAGTAGTAAGCAGCGGTGATAGGGCTGTTGGAGGATGTGGGCACCTTCAGTGAATGGGCTATGTCTCAAGGAGCCATTTTCTTGTGCTTCTACAACAGTCTCCAGCCTGATTGGTTAATAACAGGCCTGGATGGATTCCTCCCCCTCCTTGAGGCTCTTCATTTAACCTGCATGTCCTCTATGTAAGAGGGGTTGTAGAAAGTGCTCTCCTCTGCCTGATGGTCCATACTCATTAAATAAAATCCTGTATTAAAGCTACCTCACTGACTAGGATGAGTTAGTCTGCCTTTCCAAAAGACCAGCAGATTTTTAGTGGTCAATATGGATGGGTATTGAAGTAGGAGTTACTTATCTTTGTCAAGGAGTCTGAAATGGTAATCCATAATTTGTTTTAGCTCTGCCATGCAAGAATCCAAAAACAAACCTAAAACAAGTTCTCAGCAAAGACACAAGTCCACTAAATGGAATGCTGACCACTGTATTGGATCTTCAAGCACCAGATGTCAACACAGTACTTAAGTTTCATGATGAAGTCCACAGCACAGAATCCGTTCCTGTTAGGCTTGTCCTAATGTGGCCCTACTGGTAAAATCCCTTTGTGAAGCTTGCTTTATGGATGCAGCAAGGGAGAGAGATTTTGAGAACCAACAAATAATCTCTAATCAAAGAATCCATCAGAGATTCCCTAAGAGATTTCTCTAGGGCTTCTACCACCTTGCAGGGCTGAATGCTCCTTCTTGATATACCAGACAATGAAATGTTTGGTGGCATATTTCCCCCTTATTCATAGTGAAGAAAAGAATGGGAGATTAGAAACATGTGATTGATTTTAATCATCTGAATCATTATAGTAAAAAAGGAGCATTTCAAGATGGTGTCTCCGCATTTGAGTGCTGCATTTTGCGCACTCTTTGCAGTCTTATTAAGGATAGATAACACAACCGTGGTGGCATAATTAAAGAGATAAGGTGGAACTATAAGCCACTCCTTACCCATCATGGCCTAAGCCCAGGTCAGGCTGTAGAACGTCTCAGCCACTTACCTTCTGGGGTCGTTGAATAATCAACTCGATTGTCTGTCTCAACACACTGTAGACAACAACAAATAGACCCTTTCAGTGGTAGTATTTTCTCAACTTCAGCAGAGATTCGGACTGATGGAAGTGGATCTCTTTGTGTCCCCTCAGATCAACAAACCTTCAGTGTTTTACTCTAGATACCTATGCCAACAGGTGAGGGCAGTCCACATTACTTTTTATGAACTGAGAGCTCGATGTTGTGCAGAACCCTTCATGTCCTTCTATCTGTATAAGGTAGTTGTCAAACTTGTTTTTTTCCTTTGTCCACAAGGTGGCCACAGTATATCACATTAATATATAAATAGTTCTACCCACTTACAAAGATACAGAAGCAGATGGACATTGGACTTGGGTAAAATCTTAACCGCTTCAGGAATGCCAACTGTAAAAAAAAGTCCTGTCCTGAAGTGGTTATACCAAGAACACAGCTGCTGCTGCTGTTCTTGGTATCATTTTAAACAGCAGGCGATTGCTGTTTAAATACGAGCAATCCGAGAGCTGTACAGACATCAGGTCGCTTGTACAGTGCGGTGCTGTGTGCCTCCCCTTTGCCGCCGCCGGCTTCCCTGCGCTCTGCTGTCCCCCATGCGGGACCGGCATGACGGGTCTCCCCTGACTGATTGGAGAGAGATCAGCAAGCTTCCAGCTGCTGATCTCTCCTCCGATCACTGTACCCGGAAGTGATTTGTATTACATCACTTCCGGTGTCACTGTGTACATTCTGCAGCTCTTAGAGCAAGGAGAATGAGCTGGGGAAACAGATCTCTGCTTCGTCAGCTTCTTTGGGGTCCCTAGGTGACATTAGGGGTCTACGCCTCCATAAAGAGGACCTGTCACATTATATTTGCTACTACATAGGGGGCTTCTTATCCCCCTATGTGATAGCAATAAAGTTGAGAGTAAAAAAAATAAAAATAAATTCAAAAACACTTTTTTAAAGTCCCCGCCCCCACATGCATGCAAAAACAAAAATTGTACCACACATGTTACATATCGTCGTGAACGTCGGAGTGAGAGCAATACTTCTAGGGCCAACAATCACTGGTAACACTAAATTGATGAGCAGTAAAAGCTTTTAAAGCATTGCCTATGGGAAATTTTTGGTATTGAAGTTGTTTGCGGTTTCACGGACGCACACAATTTTAAAACTTGACATGTTTGGTGTCTATTTACCCAGCATGACGCCGTCTTTTATATTTTACCAAAAAATTGGGTATTATATTCTGTTTCTGTGCACTAAATTTCCTTTTAGTGTATTTTATCCTAGAAATACTGGTTTGATAAATATTTGTGCAAATACCATGCGACATAAAAAATTGCAATTGTAATGTATCATTGTTTTCTAGCTTTTTGAATCTGTTTTCTAGCCAATAATTCAGATTTTGTTATGTGTGTGCAAATATCAAGAAATTGTTCCGGTCAGCAAGTGGTTAAAACAATCACAGGAAACACTTTTCATCATCCCTTCAGGGAAAAATGCAAGTAGAGAAGCATCTACTAGGATGAAAATGGACTGGATAATATGAGTGATCCATGAGGCTTGCAGGGAACAAGCCTCATGGATAATTAATTCATCAAATAATTAAATAATTCATCCCCTCACAGCTACCTCCTCATGTATCATTTCCCCTCCTCTTTTAGATAGTAAGCCCTCAGGGGCAGGGCCCTCCTTAACATCTTGTCTTGAATTGTATTGTAATGTCTTCCTTACATTTTAAAGCGCTGCGCAAACTGTTGGCGCTATATAAATACTATGTAACAATAATAATAATAATATTGTATAGGGTGACCACACACTCTTTTAAGAAGCATGTCTATGTTTTGGCCTATGGTTTCTGGGATAAAGTTTGCAAAGCAGCCTTCTAATCATCACCTCACACTTTCCTTTCACACTGTTGAGTGGAGCCACCACCTTAACAAAAGTAAACATGGGGTGTTCACTTTAGGTGTCTGCTCCTTCACGTAATAAACTTAAATTTTTATGGCACTCACCTTTTGTTGCTAGCTATTTACCATTCATATACTGCCATGGAGGAGTCAGGAAAATTCTTATCCAATGCTTACCATAATTTTCCTTTTCTGCAATACTCTGGTCTTAGTGCTAGATTGAAGGGTGTATATAGATATGCCCGCAGAGGAAAGGCATCTTTGTAACTTGTTGGTAACTAATATATGTATTCCTGATGGCTATTTCAAACATATGTAACAAAGAGTTCTATTTTTATATCTAGGTGTGTAACAGTGCAGAACAGCCCAGAAAACAGCAGCGTTCTGACCTTAATGGCCCAGTTGATAACAACAATGTGCAAGAGGTAAGCAGTTATGTTATTGTTTAGTACAAAGCTTCATATACTGATGTTTATGATCTATTAATAATCACAATAGGAAATGTTCCTTGTTTGAAGGTTGATGATCATTCACAACAGACAGCTACTTCATTTTTCATTGGCATTGTCAATAATTGTTGTATTAAGTACAATACAATTTTTTAACATCAGTGTTTCCTTTATTATTATTATTATACAGGATTTATATAGCGCCAACAGTTTGTGCACGCTTTACAATATAAGGAAGACATTACAATCACAATACAAATCAAGACAAGATGGTAAGGAGGGTCCTGCTCGTGAGGGTTTACAATCTAAAAGGGAGGGGGAAGTGATACATGAGGAGGGAGCTGCGCAAGGGTTGAATTGTTTGAGAACGTGATGGTCGAGCGGTTAAGTTGAGGTAGGATAGGCTTCCCTGAAGAGATGAGTCTTTATGGACTGCCTAAAGGCAGTCAAGGTGGGCGACAGACTGACAGGTTGGGGTAAAGAATTCCAGAGGATGGGAGAGAGTCTAGAGAAGTCCTGGGGGCGAGCATGGGAGGAGTTGACAAGGGAGCTGGAAAGCAGGAGGTCTTGGGATGAGCGGAGCTGATGGTTAGTGTGATACTTTGAAACAAGGTTTGAGATATATCCGTGGGGCGGAGTTGTGGATGGCTTTGTAACTGATTGTTAATATTTTTAATTTTATCCTTTGGGCGAGTGGAAGCCAGTGAAGGGATTGACAGAGGGGGGTTGCAGACACTGAGCGGTTGGTTAGGTGAATGAGTCTGGCAGCTGCGTTCATGATAGACTGAAGGGGGGATTGCCTGTGTAGTGGAAGGCCAATGAGGAGGGAGTTGCAATAGTCAAGACGAGATATAACAAGTGAGTGGATGAGTAATTTTGCGGTTTCTTTGGTGAGGAAGGGGCATATTTTGGAGATGTTACGAAGGTGAAGGCGGCAGGATTTGGATACTGATTGGATGTGAGGAAGAAAGGTGGGGTCCGAGTCAAGGATGACAACTAGGACCTTGGCATGGGGGGAGCGGTGGATAGTTGTGTTAACAATCTCAAGGGAAAAGTTAGGGGAAGGTGCACGGGCAGGAGGAAATATCAAGAGCTCAGTTTTTGAAAGATTGAGTTTTAAGAAGTGTTGCAACATCCAGACGGATATGTCAGATAGTAGATTAGTGGCACGAGAGGACACAGACGGGGTGAGTTGTGGAGTAGAAAGATAGATTTGAGTGTCATCGGCATAGAGATGGTATTGGAAGCCATGTGAGGTTATTAACTGACCAATGGAGGCGGTGTAGATAGAGAAGAGAAGGGGTCCAAGGACAGAGCCTTGTGGGACCCCTACAGAAAGAGGAAGAGGAGGGGAGGAGTTAGAATCGTAGGCGACGCTAAAGAAGCCCTTAGATAGGTAGGAGGAGAACCACAAGAGAGCAGAGTCTTGTAGCCCAAGTGACTGGAGTTTTTTGAAGAGGAGCAGGTGGTCAATAGTGTCAAAAGCAGCAGAAATGTCTAATAGCAAGAGTAGGGAGTAGTGGCCTTTGTTTTTAGCACTGAGTAGGTCATTAGTGAGTTTTAGGAGGGTGGTTTCAGTGAAGTGTAGGGGGTGAAAGCCATATTGTAAGGGGTTGAGAAGATTGTGATCAGCGAGGTGGCGACTTAGGCGGCTGTAGATGAGGCGTTCTAGGAGTTTGGAGGAGAAAGGGAGTAAGGAGATTGGTCTGAGATTATTGAGGTCAGTAGGGTCCATTGAGGGTTTTTTGGGTATTGGGGTAACCAGAGCATGCTTCAGAGGGGAGGGAAATATTCCAGTAGAGAGTGAGAGATTGAAAATGTGGTCAAAAGTTCCTTACTGTCCACATTATCCTCATAGCATCTTTCCCTTACCACCTTGCACATTGTAATCTTGCTAAAGCCTAGCTCCAGTTATTTATTCATGTATTTATTAATTCTAGATTTAAATAGAACAAGAAAAGACTAGAATCTCTAAACTCCTTATTGCCGTGTCTGCCCTTTTGGAGATGTTTTCTCACTGCCTTTGTATTTGTTGGGAATATGAAAAAACAGGAAATTAGGGGAAAGCCCAAATAGGAAGATTCCCTCATTTACTGTCCAAGTGATGGGGTTCAGACAAAATAGGAAGTGAGGGAAAGCCTCTTCAATGGGGGAAATCTTGTTAACAGGGAAAAAAGAACGCATTTGAAACCTGACATAAAAATCTTCTCAATGGGGACACATTTTAAAACCAGTCAGAGATTTCAACCTTTCCCTGCTCTATCCAAAACTGAAAATAGAGTGACTTTGAATATCGAAAAATGTTTTAAATTTAAATAGCTCTAAAAGGTTCAGCTTCGTCATCGAGCACCTGCTAGGAAGGTATCACTTGTTGGAGGCCCCATCCCATGCCTTCTTATTAGTCAGTCAGGCCACCTGTTAGAATGGTAGGCTAGCTGAGAAGTATGGTGAGTGGGAGTGTGGCCACCTTAGATGGACTACCTAGATGAAGTCAGAGTTGCATAACAGAGCATATTGGGTTTCATGGCTTCAGCGGTACTTTGAGTCAAATCTGAACTTGTATGAACATAGAGATACTTGCTTTTGGATGTGTCTATTTAACATATTTGAGAAGAGTTCAGGTACACTTTAAATGTAATTTATCTACTTCATGTTTGATCTGCAATCTTTTGTGGCTCAGTTGCACGTAAGATGTTTACCTTTGAGCATGCCATTTAACCCTTTGCTGATAATCAGCACAGTTATAATTTTTTAATATAATATGCAAGATCTGAGTAATTAAAGTCGACTGTAATACTAGCACTGCTATGAAATGGCAGTGCATTTGACACTACAGCTCAAAGTGTGCACTGGAGGTAAAGCCTACCAGTGACATCAGTGCCTCTCAACCCTTACCCATGAAGGCTGATTGACATCATAATGCATCCATGGGTCAAGCCTACTGAGAATGTTTTAGAGCTACCTCCTCCGATTGTCATGTGGCTATGCACACATGTTACTAATGGAAACTGCTGCAGTATTACATTCTTTTGTGCTGTATCTTCAAAAGTATGTTTATAGGTAATTGTATTTAATGCATGATTCTGTACTAAACATGCTTTTCTGTTTTTTTTTAATCTCCCCCTTAATTGGAGGTATAATATTGTAAGCTTGCAAACTTTCTTTCGTCCTCTTTTTAGAAGTCAGTCCAACTATGTATTAAAAAGCTCTATTTTAGGTACTATATTCCCATCTCATAGCTTAGTCACTGTCCATGTTGACACTAATATTGTCCACCATGTAGAGCAAAATTGTCAGATGTCCTTGTGCCCAGTGACAAGGAGATTGTAATAATGATAGCTATGGTGCTGCCACTATATTTAAGTCGTGAAAATCTAAGCTTCCGTTTATGCCAGTATATTTCACTACTACTAAAAAGGTTCTTGTTTTAATTCCTCTGTTTCAACCCCTTCAACCTCTTTCCATTCATTCAATTTATATTTATTGCCTCTTTTTTATTATTAGGCCCATAAATAAAATATTTAACTGCCTTACTTCACAAGTGGGTGCATGTTCTCTTTTTAGGAACAGCCTTGTGGGAAGCTGTATGAAAAGAGCAAAGGCAGAGCTGTTAATTTTATGACCCGTTCTGCTTATTTATTCAGTAGGTTACCCAGTGTTCTTAGCCTGAGTATTAAAGTGGCTGGGAAGTCATTATGTCTGTACCAGAGAGCAGTTAAGTTTAGTGACAGGTAAAATAAATTTAGATGCCCATCGTATAAGAGGAAATAATTGAATCAGCAGCAGTGTGACTTTGTTAAAAAAAAAAGAAAAATGACAATTCAAATAATCTCAGTCATGACAACATTTAGCAAAACATTTCTAAATAAAATAATTGAAAAAAGTGCCTACGATCTCTGCAAAATATACAAATACAAAAAGCTGTGCAAAAAAATTAAATCATATTTTTCCTCCATTAGGTTGCCTGCATGATATTGTTTGGTCTTTGCCAAATGAGCAAGTTATTGTGCAGCGTTGGACCACACACTAGGCAATCAAAACTGGCTCAGACCAGACTGGATTTCATACTGAGTGTTTAAAATGAGATAACGCCCTCACGTTGTATGCAAGGTTCTTAGCCAAATTTTAAAGTTCAAACTCTCCTTTTTAAAGTAATCATTTACTTAGTTTTTAACCTTGAACTTGAAAAGTAAAAGTTGTGCCCAAGAACTGACACCACAAGCTGCCTGTTATTTTTTATCACCCAGAAAAGCTTCTGTTCCCTTCTCTGATATATTGTTATTATACAGGATCTATATAGTGCCAACAGTTTGCGCCGTGCTTTACAATATAAGGAAGACATTATAATTAAAATACAATTCAAGACAGAGCTGATGAGGACCCTGCCGGTTAGGGCTTACAATCTAAAAGATAAACAGGGTTATTCACAAAGCTGCCGAAGGCAGCCGTGTGTATAACCGACCCGAAGTGAAGTGAGCCAAACGCTGTTCGGTTATTCACTTAGGCTTGTACAGCTGATTTCCGCTGTACATCGGCTGAAATCAGCCATACATCGGCTGGCTTCGGGTCAGCCGAACATGCTCAGCATGTTTGGCTGACCCGAAGTGCAGAAGGAGATTGGCTGAGCCGAACCTCCGGCAGGCTACTGGGTGCTGTTTGGCCTATTCTCATAGGTACCGAGCAGAATATAAAAACAGCAAAAAAAAAGTATACAACGATTGGGCGGAGCTAGCAGTGACAGCTAGCTCTGCCCAACTGCTTCCTATTATTATTATTATACAGTATTTATATAGCGCCAATAGTTTGCACAGCGCTTTACAATATAAGGAAGACATTACAGTCACAATACAATTTAAGACAAGATGGTAAGGAGGGCCCTGCCCGTGAGGGCTTACAATCTAAAAGATTGAGACCTGCTCTAGCTAATGAATAACAACTGGATAGAGCCGGCCGTGTGCCATCACAATGAGAACTGGGCAGAGCCGGCCGTGATATCACGGCGGCTCCGCCGAGTTCTCATTGTGATGACAGATCAGCGTCCCCTGGTTACCTGGTTCATCCCAACTGTCAGTAGCAGGCTTTTGGCCGGCCTTTATGCCCACTTCGGATTTCACCTAGGGTCAGTCGAGCCAAAGCATATGCCTTCGGCTCGACCGAGCTGCTCGGCCAACTTCGGGAGCTGTACGGGCACCTTACTGCTTCATTGGCCAGTGGAATAGTAGCTGTAAGGGCTTGGTCATGACGTTGAAGAAAAGCCCGGAATAGATTGAAATGTCAAAGCCATAATTGCCCTGCATGGGTTAAGCATAGGATGAATGAGATGTTCACCATCAGTGGAGGTCCCTTCATTAAGCTTTACCGTATATACTCGAGTATAAGCCGAGATTTTCAGCCCATTTTTTGGGGTGAAAAGTGCCCCCCTCGGCTTATACTCGAGTCAGCGCCAGCGCGTCAAGGAAAGGTTAAGCTTTGCATATTACTTCAACTGCTTAACTTTCTGGATCTACTGATACTTTTGGCAAGTAGCTTTCATTGAAGATGACCGCTACTGAAGCATTATTTTCTTGTATGCTAAATTTCACAGGTTTGGGACAACTTGTCTTTAAAGTGTATGTAAAACAAAAACCTATTTTTCCTTTTGGTGTCTAAATATATTAGACAAATGTAGCAACACTTCTCCACCCTACCCAAAAAATTAGGCTATATATGCATTTTAAATTAAGAGAGTGGGAAGTAGGCAACCGTATAATGAGTTTGTGTACATACATACCATATTTCCCCGAAAATAAGACCTAGTACTATTTTTGGGAAGTGCTAAAATATAAGACCTACCCCGAAAATAAGACCTAGTTGTGACCATTCCCAGGGCCAGTGCTGGCATAAGGGGGAACTTGAAGAGCCGCGGGAAAGGCAGGAGAGAATCAGCGGTGCCAACAAAGCCAGCACAAGAGGAAGCAAGGCGGCACCGGAGGGAGCAGAGCCGCATAAGCTGATGCCTCCTCAATAGCGCCGCCTCCTGTCACAGGCAAATGCACTCCGCCTGTGAGGAATCGATAGTGAAAGTATGCTTCGCTCATTCTGGCCAGCGATTGGTTAGCAAATTGTTCTTGGAAAGGTAGGGCACACCTGACTGGCCTGATAACCATATTTCTGTACATGAATACATGTAGACATAAAAAAAAAATAAGACCTACCCCGAAAATAAGACCTAGTGGGTTTTTTTGAGCCAAAAAAAATATAAGACAGTGTCTTATTTTCGGGGAAACACGGTAGTTGGTCCTATAGTACTGTGTATGAGTGCAGTATCAAGATAAGTTACCAGCCATTATAATAAAAGGATCTAACAAAAAAGACATTTTTTTAAAAATTGCAGCATGTAAGTGTGCATGCATGGGCCATTTTAAATAACATTTCTAGGATGTGGTCAGAAGTATATGAATGAAAAAACTTTTTTGGACATTTATCTGAATTGATTTAGGAAAGAAAGATGGTGTATTTACTTCAGAGCTGATTGTAACTTCAATGCATCCTGCATTTCAGAAACATGACAGACAATATATTGTAGATGAGTGACAGGTTTCCATTCCCAGTAGATCACTAAAATTCTGGAATGAAGGTCAGGGAACAGCTCTGTTAAATATAAATCTATGCTAGTCTGCAGAGACCTGTGACATGTAGCAATATTTTCTGCAAAGATATTTATCTTTGATCACTAGAGTGTCATTTCTGCAAACTAATCATGTACCTACCAAATGGAAAACGGCATTTCCTGAGATTTAGTCCAGCAGGTTTAGCCGTCTGTATTCAGCAATCGCTTTATTATTAACAAGTGAACAGTTGGAGTTGTATGATACCAGCAGTGCATCACTATATTTTACATGCCAACATTTACTTTTTTTTTAATTTTGCAGCAAACCAAAAAGGTGGCATCTTTTCCAAGTTTTGTTGATGGTGAGTACAATTTTGCCTTTTGCAAAAATATGAAATAAGGAAATGCACCTAAAATTGAATTTTGAAATTTTAACAAAGTGCTTTTTTTTGAGAGATATGTAAAAAGACTCAAGCTGTATTATTGTAACCAGTTCCTAACTACAGGTCCAAAAAAACCTAATCGAAGTACAGGGTAGATACAGCACACCCTCATACTACCAGAAATGTTTGGCTGTCAAAGTGATAGCCAGGAGTTGCTGTGTAATTACTGCAGCTATAGAAGCTCCTTCTCTCAAAAAACAAATCATCCAGTGCAGAGTTTATAAACACTATTCATATGCAAGATAGAGATCGAGATTAACATTGTTACTTTTGTATCTACTGATGATGAACTTACTGACATGTAAAAAAAAAAAAGTTTTAATAACATTTTTCTTACTCATCTATTTTATTTGTCAATGTTTTCAATGTTTAAACTGTAGAGAGCTCAGATTACAGGCAAAATGCACAGAGCCAATCACACATCTAAATGCTTCTTGTGTTTACATTTGAGAGCCCTCCTCTTGGTAGATCAGATCACAGCGACCAAGGAAGGAGGGCAAACAGTGGTTGAGGAAGAGGCTGTGCTTCATTAAAGGTGTTTATGGGGGGAATTTTAAAGCACTACTGATGGGATGGACTTATGAGTTGTGTGCTGTTCACTCTCAGCTGGGCATCACCATCATTTGACCTTTTTTGTTTATGGATTACATAAATGTAAAATAATTTTTGCAAGACAATATCAACAAAAGGAAGTCGTGTGTGTCTTAAAAGAAAAGCTGTATAAGTAACCCTTTGTTATCTAGAAGCTGAACTTCAAGAAGAAACGTGTATTCTTACTTGAATCTTGATGTTCCTTGTGTATTTCATCCATATCTTTTCCTCTGTACATTAGCTTATTTTAATCAAGACCAGTCACTGCTGCTCTCTTTCCTTGTGCAGGGTGACTGGTCTTGTCTCCTGTAGTTTTTTTGCAGACAGCATTTAGTGTGTGGAGCCCCCCCACAGCTCTGCTCTCTGCACAGGCAGTGCACAGCACAGTGATGATGTCAGTGCTACTTTTACAAGTTTTGCACATTTGGTTTAGTAATCACAATGGGGATTTATATAGTTTGCGGTTATTGAGTAATATATTTGAATTCAAGTTTTTGTGCCCAGAGTTAAGCTTTAGTTATTACCTAATAAACAGGCCCATAAACATGTTTTTAGATGTTATTCACTAAGGGGTGAAGAGTTTGGAGAAGGCAGGAGAAGTGAGCAATCTAGGACAACATAGCTGAACTGGAAAGTGAGCTGAATTGGAGATTTTTTCCAAATCAGCTATGTTGTCCTAGAAGGCAATAATATAATAATCTGAAAGACGTTCTAACCCTTTTCCATTTTATTGAGAAAGAAAAATTTTATTGCAGTCTGTGGGGTTGATTTACTAAAGGCAAATAGACCATTCACTTTGCCAAATAACTTACCATTAGTGAATGAGGTGAAGCTCTGCTGACTTCCATCACCCAAACATGTGCTGGCAAGGATTCTGTTTTCTTTATTTTCCTTGCACGTGAGTAGATATACTTTGCAAAGTTGATTTTCACCACATTCTCTAAGCTAAGGAAAAATTCACTTCCAAAGTGAACAGCCTATTTGCCTTTAGGCCCCATTCACACCAGATCCATTGCGTTGCAATCCATTTTTCAATGGATGCTAACGCAAGTTGAGCATGCTCTACATTTTTTCAGTGCAACTTAGCGTAGTGGAACAAAAATGGATGTAATGGCAGCACAACGGAAGCAAAAGAAAAAAATATATATAGATGTTGGTCCACTCAGAACATGTTAATTAAAATAAAGATTGGCAACCCCCCCCCCCAAAAAAAAACAAAAACCAGAATGGATGTCAAGGGAGGTAGGTTGAAACTGCAAGTCAATGGACTCTCTGTTGACTTGCAACTTCCTTCGTATTTTGGTGTGAATAGGCTCTTAGTAAATCATCCCCTGTGTCTCCACTGAAGAGATTCCCTATCACTTCCCTTTTCCCACAGTAAGGAGAGTTGTCTTTGATGAGGTCACACACCAAAATTCAAACCTGACAGGTGTTCTACCCCTTTCCCAATGTGCCAAAAACAGAAAGAAAAGTTTTGGCTGGAGTTGAGCTTTAAAGGGTTTATACAGGGTAAATAGTATGGGAAAGCAGAACAGGGGACATCTATGAGACCTGGTGTTGGATATTTAAGTGAAGTATTTTTTCCACAGGCATCAGCTAATAATACAGTGTGAGAATTTTTTTACCCATACCCCATTGTCTGCTTATATAGTACCGTTCTGTGTAGAACATACAATAGCCTTGGCTTTAACCAAAGATTAGTTTTCGTTTTCTTTATCCCTGTAGTTACATTTTAATAATATGTAGTTAAAATTAAATAATGTACTAAAACAATTTATAATATTTGCATGTGAGTGCATAGATAGAAACACGTGTGCCCTAAAGTGCAAAATTGTCACATGTAAAATCCTGATTCATTAATGGATACATACACTGAGTGGCCATATTATTATGACCACCCTATCAGTACTTTGTTGGGCCACGAGATGACTTTGTTGGGCCACCTGGTGACTCCACGAGATGTTGAAAGGTGATGCGAGGAATCTGACACTGCACTGTTGCCCTTCTGTTGTCTTGTACCAGTCTTGCCACTCTCCGTTCTGCCCTAACATTGACTAGTCGCTGACGGCAACAATTCGCACATTCAGACCCAGATTTTCGGCTGACAGTCCAGTCTTTAAACACTTTAACAACAGCTGCTCTTGAACATTTAACAAATTCTGCTGTTTTGCTGATACTCGCTCCATGGCTCCGAGCGCCATCAATCATCCCACGTTCAAAGGCTGTTAAATCGCATTGTCGTGGTAAACAACCTACTTCCCTATTTATAATGGTCTGGCCCTCTGGCAACTTCAGCCCCACATTATAGCTAATTTGCCTACAAACGTCAGGTGGTCATAATAATCTGGCCACTCAGTGTACATGCACTAAGTGGCCAGATTATTATGACCACCCCATCAGTACTTCGTTGGGCCACGAGATAACTCCACGAGATGACTTCGTTGGGCTGCCTCATGACTCCATGAGATGTTGAAAGGTGATGCGAGGAATCTTCAGAAAAAAATCACTTCTACTGTCGGGGTAAACAACCTGCTTCCCTATTTATAATGGTCTGGCCCTCTAACAACTTCAGCGCGAAATTATAGCTAATTGTAGCTAATTTCCTACAAACGTCAGGTGGTCATAATAAACTGGCCACTCAGTGTATAGCTTTGTAATAGACGATTGGCACTTTTGTGCTGTCATCAAAACTATCACTGTTTTTTTAAAAGAATAAGTCTTAATAAAACAGACTGCTGCCTTTAGTTTCCTATATAAGAAAAGGTGATGTGTATTGAAAGCGTAAGTAATTATCGTTCCTGTGTCTGGCAAGCATTGATTAAGTGATTACTTGCAGTACTCATAAAGTAGTCACTTGCATGCACAAGTAACTAAAAGACTTAATTAAGCTGAAAACAACGAGCATTATTTTCTGTGAGTCCACTGGGGTTTACCGCATTATCTACCTTGAAGTTAACCCCCCGTTTATTCAGGAACTGCTTCACTTGATTAGTCTGCCAGATATCATACAGAGGAATACTAACTTTATTTCTCACTACCATGGCAGCCATTAATGTTCTTTGCATGTGCTCCAGCCCCAAAATCTATGCAGGTTTGCTGCACCATAACGTACAATGCATTGTAAATGTTGATTACACTGGCAGGGTCAGCGACTGCATGACTGGGAGAAGAGGAGTGCCATTGTGGGTGTAGTGGACACCCTAATAATTTTTTAAGGCCCGGTTGACACCTGAGTGTGAGCTTTACAGGATATTTTGTAGCATTTCTATTTGCACTTTTTTCCAGGCTTGTTTTAACCAATGGAAAGCTAGGTATTTCGGAGCAGCAGGTGGATGTTTAGCCTTGAAAAGGTGCTTTCATTAAAATATGTGGGGGCCAAAAACACTCCATTCTGCTTCAAAGATAGCTCATGCACCTTGTTGAGCTTCAGACCTCAGGCTACAGGCGACTGAGCACTCCTATGTGGACAGGCACAGTTTAAAAGCATGATATTTGGTATTTGAGTGTTCTCGAGCTTTGAGCTTTAGGCTAAAAAATGCTCAGGTGTGAACCAGGTCTTTTAGCTGACTGGAATTTGGTTTTAAAGAGAATCTGTCACAGTGCTGGTGAGCAAGGGTAAGGTGAGGGTCAGTGCGTGTGTTCTTATAAGAGCACCTGTCCTGAAAGATCTCTTTAAACAAAAACTGTGTTTAAGCAAATATGAAATTTGCCATTTTTGAAATTTTCTGGAAATGTTAGTTGACTGGCTGTCATGGTTCATATATTTTCTGACCTAGAACAAGTGTGGAAATCAGGAGTTCTGACTTGTCTGACTCTTGCTGTTCCAGCTAAGTGACTAAAAATGATTGAAACCAGAGAAATCCATGCAGCTGGATTTTCAAAAGAGAACTTTTTAGTAATAGAAATCTTTTTACATTGCTTTGTGCGAGACATCACGGCACCTGGATTGGGTGTGTTTGCAAAATATATTTTGCATCATAAGCAGGGGTTCTCACATCAACAAATTACTGGCAAAATGGGAGAGAGGTGGACTGATATCCTGATGCAATTCCTGAGTGAGCAGGTATACTGCGCTCCCTATATTTATGTTATGGAAATGGAAACAAAATCTTAACAAAACTTTATAGAATCGGGAAGGTTACAGATTACTGATAGAATATTGACAATCACTTTTGGACGCAAGAAGAAGTCAAAACCACTTTACTATGTGGTGATACACCCTATTGGCTGAATGCTATAAATTGTGTAACTAGTCCATTAAACTAAAGGCATAAATGAGGAATTGGAGATTGTTTACATATATTTTACATACCTTTTCAAACAAGATT